ATCAAGAAAGAATACATATTGATTAATCACACCGAGGTTTAGGGAAGGTCGGTTTCGAAATATTACTACGCTTTGTGCTATTTGATAGAGGAATTCTCTATACGAAGTTTCTTAGGTTAGGATCAAAATATTTACGTACTACGGCATTTGCTAGGCAACTTGAGAAACAGTAGATCTGATTCTTACTACAGAAACATACAATAATAGAAAGATATAGTAACTATTCCGGGGATAGTTGCTATAGGGGGATTCGTTTTTTCACTTCATTTTTGGATTTTTGAAAGTTACCCAGAGCCTATGAGTCGTTTTTTTGATTCCTGCGCATGGATCATGACAGTCACTTCAAATTCATCTTCGTTGTAATTTAGTGTCGGGGGTGCACGAAGAGGATTACCTTGTCGGATTTTAAGATTATTCCCATCTTGATGTTCTTTTATGCGGACATAAAATTCTCTACCCGTTTCGCCAATGTTCATCACCACACGCCTTACATGAGATCAGATGTATTGTACTTGAACTCAAACAGCTCATGCTAAATATTGTGATTTCGACCACAGCCTCAGCTTAATTGGGTTCAATGGCGATTTGTGCTCGACACATGTTTCCCGTTGATGGGTGATTACCTGGTGACACCGTTAGTGTAAGAAACTGGCTAGGAAAAAGGCAAGACGAGGACCTCAACTGCGCAGTGGATAACACATGAGTCTCCAGAAAAGATTATCGTGGGTTCGAATCTCGCCTGGGGTTCAAGTGTTGCAAATATCTCAGCTCCATTGTGTGTATAAAGTTACATGTGGTAAGTCCAGGCTCTGAAAATCACTGGTGCGGTGGTTTATAGAATGTCGATCTTTCGAAATAGATAAGGTGTAGTTGTTGTGGTCGATATCAAAACGTATACGTCGATGTCCAGTGATGTTGCTGGAAGATTAGTTCACTAGTCATTGTACCATGGCTTTCCTAGGCAAGAAAGAGCTAATTCTCTAGGAATACTGGAAGGAAAGCTAACATCCTATCCGTCTTGAGGACCAACCATCATTGATAGTCTAACACCTGGCTTCCCTTTTGCATGCAAACAAATTCCACACAAGGAACGCCAACGTGTGATAGGAAACATTTGCTGATCGTTTTTAGTGCGAACCATTTTGAGAGTTTGGAAATCGAAATCCGTCATATTTATTTGAGTGTTTCAGGAAATAAAGTGGAGAAAAACTCGAAAAACGAACCGAAAACGACCATCGTGTCGGCACATTAGTGTAATGACGGTGTTGGTAATCACTGGAATCCTGAAAAGATGGCGGGTCATGATCCTTCCTGAGTTAACGGGTTCACTTTTAAACTCTTCTGAATGGAAACACTTGAGATGCTACGAATAGAACAAAATATGACTTGCCTTTTTGGAAGAGCTATTTCGTTATGCTTAGATTCCTGTACATAAAGTTGATTATGTCTTAGAACTCAACGATACGAAACCGTTAAAAGATGAAGCACTATAGCTGCCTAGTAATCCTGACACACCTTATCCAGGTGCAAACCAAACAAATTTGAACTGAGCTATTGCTTATCAAGTTTGTCGCAATAATTGTAATCATATCTATTGATTGGAGAGTGGCCCTTCAAATTGAAAACATTTAGTTGGTCGCGTGTTCAAAAGCGGTCGAAGTGGTCGTAGTAGGAAACGCGAGATCCTTTCCTGACTTAAGAGTGTGCTTTTCAAACATCATTTACGACCTATTTTAAAGCCATTTCGTTAACTATGATGTTCGAGTGTGACCAACCACTGGGCCATTTCACTAGTAGCTTGCTGTCTGCGACAATTCAACCACCGTGTACGTCTATAGATACATAAGGAATCGATCGATACATGTCAACTACTCTCCAATATATAAGTAGTTAGGCGTTGACCATTTACTAGGACTGATTGAGGAAAATATGCTCTGTCGGATACTGGTTGCTATGACAACTAATTCCCGTATTTTGCTATTCATCAAGCTCAAATTGCAAATGACAGGCTTCATCTGGATCATCAAATCAGATCAGCACGAATACGAATATCTGGATAGCGTCCGTGAAGAAACCGAACAACTCACTTCTTCTCCCTCTGCTTTTTTTCTGTGTGCTATGATGTCAGCACTAATAAACTCTTCAGACTTCAAAGGCCTAAACGGCCACAGTATGGCCTCACAGAACGTCACAAGGTAATAATAGATAACACTTATATACCTGACAAGATACTTCTCAGACTTACCGAGCGAATAATTTTTCTCCGTAAAGGTTTTCATGAATCTCAAGCATCGCTATCTGCTGAGAGTTACTGGAAGAATATGAATGAACCTAACTGCTTTACTTTATTGGCACGTCGAGTTTATCAGATTTTATCAGGCAAATATCATTGGAGGTAAACAGACTGTTTTCAAATGAAACCGAAAGCGAAAAATAGTAGGCTGTTTTGATCCGCCTTCTTTCCCCACTTTTCTTCATTTACGTTATAACCAGTCCTCATCAACGTATATTTCTGAAAGAAACGTGGTTAACGAAAGGTTAATTCTTCTTTTCTTCCATCGCATAAATAAGCAGACGAAGTTCTTTAGCTCACATAACCAATTCTCAGTGGATAGTTTTCTAAATATAGTCATTCATTCATGAAGGATCTTAAGGAATGTTGCCATTAGTGGTTTCGAGAGACGAAACCAGATTTTGGTCAACATCATAGTTACACATTTATATACAATATGTACGCCACCCTCTTAACGGTTTACCGCCTCATCGTGGCTGGGAGGTGTTCCTGGGTGTCGGACTGCGATGTACAGCGGGGGATTCGTCCACCCGGCAGGGTCTCCCAATCTGAGGAGTCCGGCGTTTCCATCAGCAAGCCTAGCTAAGAGTAAACCAATATCAGGATCCACCACCGTCCTGGTATCAAAACCGCATAGTGGCAAATCTCCCTCTGATCCACAAGGGCTACGACTGCCTGTCGTGGTGAAGACCTGGGGCAGAGTTTGCCCACGCTGACCTCGGGATCCCAGGGATCCACACTGGGTTAACCAATAAATCTCCGAAAATGGTGATCATGCTGGGGACCGCACCAGTGAAGGCAGGCCGTTCAAGTATCAAGTAAGTAAGTACATACACCACGGTCACATTCATCCATTTCAGAAGAACGTCTGGATTAACTGAAGAAATCCGAAGAATATGGAATGATGTTGTCGCAAGAATCATCGCTATCTACCGGAATGCAGCTGGCTACATCATAAAAGTATAAAAAGGACGTAGCTTTCGACGTTGATCAATCCCTGAGGGGATGCATTCGATTTCATCAAGCATCGTTTGGAGGTGATTGAATGCATATCTGGCCTTTACAATGACTCGTGGTTACCGACCGATGAATCGAGACTGCTGCTATCCTCCCAGTCAAGTCTGGTACCAATTTGCCGACTCTGGAGGGATGGAAGGCTTGGTGGGCTCGATACGCGCACTTGCTACATCATAAATACTCTTTATCCGCTTAAAAATATTTTTCCAAGCCTCGGAAACAAGTAGCATTCCGTCAGTATTATTTTCGATTATGGTGTGGTATAGAATGTTCACAAACTGGACTGCAGGAATGACTGTGATGGTTTCCTATAGACATTTTCCTTTAGACTTTCTCCTCTCCTTTATCGTCCCCTATCGGTTGGCCGACTAATCACAACAACCATATCAAGTACAGTATCGTCATTTACGTTCTAGTAGATTCCTGGTCGCAAGGCAGCAAACCTCCCTTCAATCCCTAATTGCAGATGGCTGCCTCTGAAAAAACCTGAGAATTCGTAACACGTAGCGAGGCATGCTCGAAGGATATTTGGAATGTTAATGAGGAAGATAGCATGTCCTCGTGTCACAGCAATATCGACTAATGAACTTCGCCACTATGGATGACGGTTCCAAGAAAACAAAATGAACTGGTGAAATGCTGAAATACACATTTCATGTGAAGATGGGCAGTGCAGGTCAGCTTTTCTCTATGTACTGAAGAGTTTACCGCATCACCATGGCAATCTGAAATATGGGACCAATCAGCATCGAGTAGGTAAAAGAAGCCCTTCTCCTATTGGAAAAAACGTGGTCAATCAACCTTGTTTGATTCAGGATGTGGGATAATCTCCTTGTGTTCGATCCGGTATCCAAATATTTTTTGCCCCATTAAGGCACTGTTTCTTAAACTTCTTGAAGAAGGTATTCGGTCGAATACGGTGATTTCTTAATCAGAAATTGTTATGAAGCGAGCGATGGTGAGATGGAAGTATGCCTCTAGTCAGAGATCTATAGTGGAGGTAACACGGAAGTCGGTGGATAAGAGGTGGTTCAAAGTTCTTCCTACAAAAACCATTAGCTAGTAATGAGGAGCTGGGAGACCAATCAAAACCATAGCCTATACCTTATCTTCTTCTGAAGACGGATGTTCTCTTAGTTTCTGGAAAAGAAAACATTGCTTTAACAAGTGGATCATATTCTTTTCTTGGATGAGCCAGTCGCCATCATCGATTGATGGCCATATTTCCCGTCCATATTGAGATATTTCAACGACACCCTACGTCATTGACTGACTCCCAGAATAATGGGATGATTTAGCTCTAGATGATATTATGGTTTGTCCTAATATAGATGGTACACCGCTTAAAAACACTTGAGTGGACATTCATACACCCTGCTGGTGGTGTTCCAAAACCGAAGGTTGAATACTGCAAATGGTTTCTTCGGAAATGGAACACGACAGCATAGATGTTATTCAGGGGATCGCTCATCTCACGTTATTTTCCAGTTACCCGAACGTCGCGTCATTTATTACTACGGATAATTATTATGAAAAGAAAATCGACAAGACATGCTAGTAGTGAACACATAAATATCCAGCAGTGCTTAGTTAATCAGCTAGGCTACGAAGTTCTCTTCAATAGCGCATTTCTGCTAAGAAAACCTTCAAACTCCTCAACAGCGCACTTCTGAAAAAAAGATTTTCCCGGTCGTCAATTCTGCGCACAGTTGCACTATTATTTATTCATTTTGCGTAATAGAAGGACACTACACTTTACTTTATCTCCTTAGAACCCTTCTGCCATGAAAAACGCCATGAGTGATGTCGTGCCCATTCCAGGATTCAAAAAGCACGCCATTGCGGGAACGTGATGGTCGTGCAAGCGCTTTTGAATTAGCTCGCTTAAAGAGTTCGTGTTGGTCGTTTACATTTGTTTTACCAACTGTTTTTTACATGGCACTCTAATTATTTATGTTTTCTCTTATTTGTATTGCGAATTTCTTATGTCTTATGGAGATCACGACAGGAAATGCATAGCTTTTCGTGCAGAATCCTGTTGAAACTCTTTCCTTGCGTTTTCCTAGCGTTCTTTCCACATGTTTGACCTGTTTTTAGCGTCATCTGTGTCTTTTACACCACATTTTTACAAAGTCTTTACAAGGTAAGCGCTGTTTCCAAAGCAGTTCCGGGTTCATAGTGCGGTGGGTGAGACCTAGCGGTATCCTGTACTACTTTAAATATTTTAGAAAACGTTCCATGCTTCCTTTCAGAGAATGGAAAATTGCGATGAGCTACAGTATTTGAATCAAATCCGTGAAATCCTTCAGAGGGGAAAACGGCGTACTGATCGGACTAACACTGGGACGTTGTCGATCTTTGGTATGCAGTCGCGGTACAGTCTTCGCAATGGTAAGAAACCCTTTAGCGATTTCTCTTAATCTGTTGATGCCATTAAACTTGAATTTTTTATAAGTGTATTTGGTAAAAGTAGTATTTATTCGGTTATTAACCTTTCCTGTGGCTATGTTCTATCCATTCAACTCCATAGGGAATTGTAGAAGCGTAGGTTATTGAGCGCGGATTTGACCTTTACAATGACTTACAGTGGTCCACTAATGTACCAAGTCACCATTTTTTATCCTCCTAGACAATCCTGGTATTAGTATGTCGGCCCAGGAGGGATGGGGAGCTTGGCTTGGTTAGGACATAGCGTGGAACCAACAGCCATGTGTGTTGCAGAGAATCAAACTACAGAGCTACACGTTCGCCAAGGTATTTGATAGAGCCACTCATTGAGCAAGGTTGTCAAATCTTGGTCTAAGTATCTTCTGAACAAAGATTCAGTACCTGTTGTGTACCTTTGTAATAAGGAATAAGTGAAAAGTGCATGGATTTAAATCAATTGATTTCCGGTTCCATTTTAGCATTCCCGCTGCTAGAAATATGTGGTGCTGTGACTGTCTTTATAAAATCGATATTCATCTTATGTATGTATGTTTTGTTTTTTGTTTGTTGGCCTAGCGTATATGTTAGTATTCAGGTGTTCTTCCTCTTCTTACCACTAAACGGGTATATTGGAAAGCTGTTGTTGAAGAATTACTTTGGTTTATACGCGGTGATACCGACAGTAAACGACTTTCAGCGAAGAATGTTAAGGTATTTACTGAGCTCCTTCTTTATTTCCTTTCTTTTTTCTGTCCTCTTTCTTTTTTCTTTATTCTTTATGACCTCATGGCTCTAGAGACTTCTTCTGCTCATAGTTCTTGTACTAAACTTGCATGATAAAAAAACTTACCAATGTGTCTTTTGATTCATAATCCTTCAACTTTGCGCGGTATCCTTGCAGATTTGGGATGCAAATGGCTCACGTGAGTTTCTGGACTCAATGGGATTCACAGACAGAGTAGTAGGAGATCTTGGACCTGTTTACGGATTCCAGGTTTGTATTTATTATCTGTGCCACTCGAAGTTTCTTTGAAATATATATATATACACATATATATACATATATATATATATATGAAGTTATGTATTAATGAAATTTTTCAAAGAAGGAGCATGGCCAGAAAAGATCTTATTGAGGGTGGTGCTATTAGCTGGTGATGTTTCTTATGTTATGAGAAGGTAAAATCTCACGCATGACCAAACGTCTTTCTTTTCCTTTTGATAAAATGCTTATGTACTTTTGTTATTTCTGGATTGGTGAAATTTCCTTTACCATTTTCATTGAATCATTTCTCAGTTAACCTTCTTGTTTCATAGTTAAATCCGTAAGTGTACTTCAGGTCTACTTGAGAAGATTCCAGACTCAGTATTCAGGGCTATCTCTCTCTCATAAACTACCAAATCTCACCGAAATATGAAGTTGAACTTATTTAGTGGCGCCATTTTGGTGCAGAGTACAAAGGGCCGGATGCTAACTATGATGGACAAGGTGTGGATCAGCTTGCTGAAGTTATCCGTCAAATTCGCACCACTCCGGATAGCCGGCGTATCATCCTTAGTGCCTGGAATCCGTCTGGTTAGTGATGATTTCAAAATATGTTTGACTTTGGATAATAAGGAAGGCTATGGTTGTTTTCTTGACCGCCGACGTGGTAACGATTTTTCGTCATCTTTCACGAGTTCTTCTAGCGTAATAGTGCGAAGTTGCAATAGTTATGTAATATGGTTAGAGTGAAAAACAAGAGTTTCTGGATCCATTATGTCATGTAAGGGGAGCGATCAGCGCAGTTGTCAGAGGCGCTTTGCAATACACATGGGATCGATCCCCGCACATTAAGCCCACCAAGCCTTCCATCCTTTCGGCGTCGGTAAATTGGTATTAGGCATGTCTAGTAGTATAGCAGCACTGACTCGATACATTGGTAGGCCACCGGAAGTGAATGTATTGACCAGATATGCATTCAATTACCTCCAACGATGCTTAATGAAGTCGAATGCATAGCGCATCCCTCAGGGATTGATCAGCGCCGAAAGCTTTATCCTTTATCCTTTTTACGTCATGTATGCACAACGTTAGCCAAATCCATCATCTTATTGCTTAAACGCTAATCACTTTAACGAATTCTTTTTCTTTCTTACGAAACAACAAGTCTTCCAGATTTGAATATAATGGCTCTTCCTCCGTGCCATACTCTATGTCAGTTCTATGTGCAAGATGAAGAGTTGAGTTGTCAGCTTTATCAAAGAAGTGGAGATATGGTATTGAAATTTTCTTGAACATCTTCATACTCTGTCTTTGTTTATATGATTTTTTACTCCATATTTTATGCGACTTTGCACTTGTTTAAAACTTGAATGAACTTCGAAGAGTTAAATCTTTTGAGTGTAAACCAACTTAAGGCTTATTATCACTGCTACGCCAAGGTTTCTTCATTTTCTAGGCTTCTAAGGTCGTAGTAGGACATTCTCAGATACCTCGTCTTTCCTAGAAATTTAAAATTTGATCATTTGTGCCTACTCACTAAACGCCCATATAGTCTTCTAGCTTTAATGTTACGATCAATAGCGTTTTCAGTTTCTGTTTAGTTGGTTAAAGGAGCTCGTCGAGCGTAGATTCGCAATGCTATCACCTTTCCGTTACACAAGATGTTGACTATAGATCGGTATTGTTATATATCTTCCGAGTCCGTTGTCAACAGGCTACAGCGGAATGTAGAAATATTATGGTGCTTTCCTGATCAGAAATAGTCTGTGTTATAGATGGTATCTTAATACTCTCTTTACTACAAACATTTTTTGCCACGGGATCAGCAGAAGCGTCATAAAAGGTTTTTTCGACTGCAAATTATAAAGCGTGGAAGGTAGTCTTCGAGAACCGACTTTAGCAGAACATCTGTGTTGTGTTAGCTATCGATCGAGCACAAACAGTATAGCAGAAACAGAAGGGCACGTGTAGCGCAGTGGTTAGATGTGTACTGCAATACATACATAGTCCTTGGTTCGATCTCGTGCCCCGAGCTGACCAAGTCTTCCATCCTTTCGTAACGAGCAAATGAGTATCAGACTTTCCAGCGAGAACGGCAGCACCGATTTGATACATTGGTGGGCCGTTGAAAGTTGCTTTGTAAATTAGATAGGAATTCAGTCACTTCTAGGATGATGATGTAAAGTGCTTCACACTGTCAAGACGGATTGACGAACCCTGAAGGCTCTGTACACTATTGTTTTAACAATAACAGGATAGACATTCGGGAAGAAAATGCATTTGAAATTTATGCATACAGTCGAGAAATGATTAAGCGACACGAAGAGCCAGGATGAGAGTGAAACACTGTTATCCGTCGCAGTCCAGAACATCCAGGAACATAAATAGCCACGGTTATGTGTTGAACTGTTGAAGTTGGGCTAGAAAAATATGTCAACAGGTTCTACTTTGGTATGCTACCGAGGGACTGATATGCTGCTGTTAACTTTGTTATTTAGTACGTCAGGAATATAGTCCAACGTTCACGTGGTTTTCATTTAGGAAATAAACTGTAGTTTACTAGTAGAAGGGAAAATGATAGTCAGGTGATTATTCGGATATATTTTTAATACATTAGGTTTTAATCTTGTTTCTTTAAGGGTCTTGGAGTTCCATTCAATATTGCTAGTTACAGCCTTCTCACCCACATGATTGCTCACGTTTGTGGCTTGAAGGTGTGTTGAAAGGCAGTGTTTGTTTGATATTTTAGCATCTCTCTTTAGAATTACTAGTTATTTGCTGGCATACGGGGGGCACGTAGCTTAGTAGTCGGAGGCCCCCGGCAATACACATAGGATCGTTCCCCGCTGCCCGGGCCCATCTGCTTTCCATCTTTCTGGGGTCTGCCAATTGGTACCACACATGTCTAGTCGGATATCAGCACTAACTCGATACATTGGTAAGCCACCGCGAGTCATTGTAAGGGCCATATATGCACTCAATCGTCTCCAACGATGCCGCATGAACTCGAATGCATTCACATCCTGGGATTGATCAACGCCAGGAGCTTAATCTTTTTTTATAGGCTGGTGACTTTGTTCATACTCTAGGAGATGCCCATGTCTACATAAGTCACGTAGAAGCTCTCAAAACTCAGGTACTTGTTATCCATATAGCTTTTTCATCCTTTTAAGAGGACGGTCCCTAACTACATTCTTGATTTTGGTAAAATTTGTGAAGTCCGCGTAAGGTTTAGGCGTGTCGCATTCCAGCAGCCCTTAAGTTGTGAAGAAGTTGAGTTTTTTCTTTCATGCTGCAATTGTTACTTATACGGAGAAGCCATATTTCACTAGTATTTTTGTAGATAGTTTTAGCTTGAGAGGACGCCGACGGCTTTTCCTACGATAGAATTTGGTGAAGGAATACGAGAAATCGATGATTTCACTTCGGATAAAATATTTCTAAGGAACTACAATCCTCAGGGTACGATCAAAATGGAAATGGCCGTTTAATGCATTGTGCAATTTGCCACTGATTTACGCATAATTCCGTTAAATTCTTGTTGGTCTTTTACTTTTTGTTACCATAATAGCTTGATTACTAACTTTGCCGTTTTCATTCTTATTGAGTTAAGTTCTCTTAATTCTTATTCTCTCTTAACCTATTGGACAACTTTTCTTTTCTATCTGTGGGATGTGAAACTACTGGAGGAAGACCGGTATCCTAATTTATTTATTCTATTTGTCATTCCTTTCTCTTTTCTTACAGAACAAGTGAGTGCAGTTATGTTACGAATATGTTAAACTTAAACGAATACGTTAAGTTTGAGCTGTGCAATGTTCTGTTTTCTAAGTGTGCTCATCTCTGTTGTGGTCATCCTGTGAGACTTTCCAGCTTGAGAAATAGCGCCAATTTAGCTTGAAATGTAGTGAGAACTCAAAATCCTGGTACTAACATCCACAAGGTTTTACCTCCACATATCCTCACTTTTATTGGTGTTATCATTTATAATATAGAATATGAATACTTTATGAATTCTTCTAGTTTGCTAAGTGTGTAGATGTGTTGTATTTGCGTTTCTCTTGGAGTTTGTGTTTAGAATAAAGAGAAGTTGTCTCAAAGTAGTTAAATGTCCATTTAAAGGCTAGCGTTTTCTGGAATAGTAGAACGATTCGAGACTTAGCCTGAGCTCAGAGTCAAGAATCCCTGTGATTGCGAGAAATATTCACAAGTTGTTACGTCCTCAGGTACTGTAACCATCTACAGCGGCTTAATACAACTTCAATCACAACTTTGCTAACTGCGGTTCTGACGTACAAGCGACGTCATCTAGATGAGATAACGAAAAAGAAGTCATTTTTGACGTAGTGATGAAGTTAAGTGGTTTACTGCTTCAGTACTGTGTTTGGAGCGTAACAGTGCCAGATGTGGTGAGGTTTCCTGAGGCTAATTTTGTCAAAGTGCTTCCTGTCTTCCATGATAGAACCTTCAGCTAGGCTGTGCAGATAAGATAAGCGTAAAGAAATAACATAAGAGTCCCTTCATCGCTATTAAACATCAAGTCCAAATTCTACGTACTTCCACGTTGACGATTTTTTCTTGCCGTACATTGTTTGCATTTTCAATCTGATCAGTCTGAGAGTATTAAAACAGTGTAATTCGATGTCAACACCAAATAACATCAAACGAATTCTGTAAGCACAACAATCCTTCCACGCATTTCTACCGAAATGTGTTGATATCAGCGCATTTGATGTGAAAATGGTCGACACTTTCATGTTTAAAGTGACTCACATATCTTCAATGATGCTGAGATATTTGCAAAACTCCGGACCGCAGGTGTAAGCGGTGGGGAACGAACACGCGCTGTTGTCCTTACCGGGGAGTAACGCGTTCACCACCACACCATGCGGGTCCTTCGTTTTGCCTGTCTCTCAGCTAGTTTTATCGATCTTTTGCCATCAGCAATCACCCGTCAACGGGATTGATCTGGGGGGCCCAAATCGGCAACGAACCCAGTTAAGCTGAGGCCGCAGTTATAATCACAATTTAACGTATTATTTACTACCTATTCTTTTTAACTGCAGGGTATACATTGTGAAATATAACTTCAATGATGCTGAGATATTTGCTGAGACGGGTGATTGCTGATGGCAAAAGATCGATAGGACTAGCCTGAGAGACATGCAAAACGGAGGACCCGGATGGTGTGGTGGTGAAGCGCGCTGCTCCCCAGTGAGGACAACAGTGCGTGTTCGTTCCCCACCGCGTACACCTGCGGTCCGGAGTTTTGTAAATATCTCAACATCATTGAAGTTATATTTCACAATGTATACCCTGCCGTTAAAAAGAATAGGCAGTAAATAATACGTTAAATTGACTCACACATCTCAACTCACAGTGAACTTTATTAATTCAAGTAGAAACTTATAGATACAACTGATGTTTGGCAGCCTAACACAAGTTTTCTTATTCGTCCAGTATGAAGCTGTCATCTTCTGAAGTCCAAATACTTCTCCGTCTTAATTTTTGCTTAAGCTCATATTTCGAACGAGAAATCAGAAAGACCTCCCAACGATTTACCGCCTCATCATGGCTGGGAGGCGTTCCTGGGCGCCGGACTGCGATGTACAGCGGGGGAATTCCTCTGGCAGAGTCTCCCAAGTAGAGAAGGAGTCCGGCATTTCCATCAGAAAGCCTGGCTAAGAATAAACCAATACCAGGATCCCCCACCAGCCTGGTATCAAAGTCGCGTGGTGGCAAATGTCACTCTGATCCACAAGGGCTGCCACTGCCTGCGGTGGTGAAGACCTGGGGCAGACTTTGGCCACGCTAACCTCGAGACTCCAGTGAACCATAATGACTTAACCAGCAAATCTCTGAAAAATGGAGATTGTGCTGGAGCCCGCACAACCAGTGAGGACGGGCCATTCAAGTATCAAGTATGAAGTAATCAGATGAAGAAGCGGGATTCCGTCTAGAACGAGACGATGACGCTCCCCAATGTGTCGTGTGTTTTTCGGACTGTCGTCCTCGCGGCGGAAGTTTTGAAAGCTTAAATTTTGTTTTTCTCCACATCTGTCCTGCAACAGGCGGTATCTTATTGGCTAACGCATAGTGAACTAATAGTTTTCTAAATCGACTTCTAATTAATTTCAGTATGAATGACAAATATGTTCTAACTTCAGTTAGGGCATTGCGATTTCGACTGCAGCCTCAGCTTAAATAGCTCCAATGCCGATTTGTACTCCCCGATATCGTTCTCGTTAGTGTGTGATGGCTGATAGCACCATTAGAGTAGAAAACTGGTTAAGAGAAAAGCAAAGTAAGGGTGCAGTGGATAACATGGGAGCGCCTGGCAAGAATTCGAAGCGCGCCTGAAGTTCCGACTTTTGCTCAAATCTTATCTCAGTAATCTTGTGATTATGCTTCAAATTATTAGTATACCTTTTGGATTGTATAGCTTATACGAGGTTGTTATAAAAGTTTCATTCAGCTAACGTTTCGATGCCTTCGTCTTCTTCAGACCCTCGTTGATTCGAGTCGATTTTCCACAGCCGTTCGTCCTCGCGATGCGAGTCCTCACAGTCTCGTCAGAGACTAAAGTTAAGGCGAAGACAGCAAAATCCTACCCGAATAAAAACTTTATGACAACCTCATGTTAGCTTATCAATGAAACAAAGATATCAGATATGATATATGATATGATATGGAATGATATGAAACAAAGAAGCAAAGATAAGATATGAAATATTCTATTTTTAAAGTTCAAGACTCCGAAACTACTGCAATGTTCGTGAAATTACCACTAGTTCTCGAGAACTCAGAATGCTCACGAATATAATGTTTTCTTGAGCAGCAGAGATGAGGTTGCTGTTTTAAACAGCTGATGTTTTGGCGGATAGAGACACATTACCCATCCATGTCAACTCTGTGCGGTTAGTCTCTAGCAATAAAAAGAATGAATGGAAGGCTTATATAAAACGGTCAGTGTCTGTAGATCCCATTTTGTTTCCAATGCGATGGAAATTTTGATTCCGGGTTCTTTTTGTCGAGGTTATAGAAATGTTTAACTGACTAAATTGCACACAAATTTGACGTTTTCTGGCTCTCAGGAAGCGCCGAAACGTCAACTATCGTGAATTGGTGGTATAACAACCACGTGTTTGATCATCAAGAAGGCAGTAAATTCTTGATCAGTGCCTGTCTAACAGGAAGTCGGTTGTGGGATTTAGAGTCATCTCAAATATATCAAGTCATACTGCTTACCCTTCTCTAGGAAGAAAATCCCCATCATTTCTTGTCGATTCGAATTCTTCTCTCATTGTATGAAAATGGATGAGCTTAAATTCAACATTAGAACCAAAATTGGCATCTTATAGGGCAGTATGTTTTTGGTACATAAATAAATGCACGCATTTTCTTCAGTGGATATTCTTTCCAATTGCTAATTTTACTGCAAAAGGTTCATTTGCCCAATTTTTCGTACTCAATCAATAGCGTATCCAATGCAAACGTTGTGCCAAAAGTGGTCCATGAAGAACTGTCCTTTATATCTAATAATTTACAAAAACCTTCCCCGAATATTTTTTGATGCGCAGAAAGTGAGTTAAAAATTATACATAGTTCAAAAGACCGTGATGCAAAACTAGGTATAGTCGCGTGTGTTTTGCGTCTTGGATTCTTCACGTATTGCGTATGTTCAGAAAAAAATTCCAGAGGTGGGCCCGTGTTGCGCAATAGTCGGAGGCGCTCTCCAATACACATGGGATCGATCCCAGCGCCCCTGGCCCACCAAGCCTTCCATCCTTCCTGAGTCGGCAAACTGGTACCAGACTTGTCTGGGAGGATAGCAGCACTGGCTCGATACAACGGTAGGCCACCGCGTGTCATTGTAGAGGCCAGAATGCATTCAATCACTTCCAAACCATGCGCAATGAAGTCGAGTACATGATCAATGCCGAGAGTTTTATCCTGTCGTTTATGAAAGAGACGAATTTGAATGGAGTCAGGTATATGGAAATCCTCTAAAAAATTCGAAATTGTTACACACGGTAGCTCCTTTTTTAATGTTGCCGATGATCACCTTTTTACCCAGAGTTTAAATGCCTTTTAGCACTCTCGCGACGTGTGACCTCTATAGGTGTAACAATGAAATTTCGGTAATAGCTGGTATGATACCTATAGGTGTCATTTCCTTCCGGTGGTTTATTTTAGTGCACAGAAGTTTTTCTCTAAACCTCTTCTAATCAATCGATAGCTTATTCTGTGGCCGTGTGGCCCATCAACGGATGTTTTCTTTAATTTCTCGTTAATTTCTGATTTTGCGACGAGAGACTATTGCAGTTGAAGACAGTTGCGGCCTTGAGAGTGTGGCTAGTGAAGAGACACAGAAATGCCTTTGTGTAGAAAAACTGGCCATGCATGCGGCGTGCAGCATCACTTTTGGCAAATAATCAGTCGTTTTCCAATTTTCGATCAATATGATGACTTTAGGTCTTCTCTGGAAGAG